GTGGCCTTATCACCAGGATAGCTATTAAGAAGGTCGGTTTTGTAGAGACTAGACTCCACCAGATGACTAACTGTGGACCATATACATACTTGACCACTAGGTACCTAGAGGAGTTGGGTTGGGTACGATCGGATGGTGAGCAGACACCCTACTGGTGTATTAGGACTGGGACCGAGCAGCCATTGCCCATCTTTTCCCTACCTAGTCCTGATTTGACCGCCTTTCCCCCCGGACTAGCGTCCTACACGTACGACCTTTTAGTTGCCAACGCTAGGGGGCAAGCACCGCCAGTACCACCACCAGTTCCACCACCCTAGCCTGAGCCTGAGGTGGCGTTTTCTCCACCTTGCATGTCTCATTCCGTCCCCCATGTTGACTCTGACCCAGTTTGGGACCTTCAGAGTATCAGGCTTTAGGCCGTATCGAGCATTCTTACACTAACCTTAGGAGGATGGTAGGCTCCATTGACCATAGGTTAGGGTACCTTGAGAGGAACCAGGGTAGAGCTCTCTACCCTATGTATGATGATTATGCTTGTCGGGGCAACATTCCTAACGATGCTATTTACCCTGACTGGTTTCAGCCTCCACCCTAGGGATACGATAGGGATCCCACTGCCCATGGTATTTATACTGACTATTCTGTCTTCCATGGGTACGGCCAGGACATTCCTTTCGGGGGACCGGCGGGGGGGGGGGGGAGTTTTCACGCTGATTATTTTGGTGGTAGTTCTTCTGGTGCAGGTGGCAGGGGAGGTGGAGGTTTCGGCTCCATGAATGAGGATGATGAGGACTAGCTATGCTGGGCTAGTTCCCGAGCCAATGAGGACATTGTCTGATTCTGGCTTGGGGAAGATTTTGGATTTGGTATCTTTCTTTTTTTCTTTTCTTTTGTTTTTGGTGTGTTTTCTTAGTTTTATTGCTTTCTAGGTTAGTTTTATTGCTTTCTTATATATGAAAAACAAAAAAAAAAAATTTAAAAAATAAAAAATACAAAAATACGTTCCAATGAATTATAAACCATGCTTCCCTGTGCCCTTTGATGAAATTTTTTCGAAATTGTGTTGATTCTTGGTTATTGATGATAAATATTGTGGATTAGTTGATCATGATTTGATATTTGATTGCCTTGAAACCTTAACATGAGTCAATTTTGTCCAACTACTTGTGAATATAGTGCTTGACTAGTTGATTTGGTTAGAAATGTGTGATAGTTCCTGGTATGTCAATGAATTTGAGTATTGATTTGCAACTATGAGTAATGTCTGTATGATTCACTATTATGCACATTGTGGAGGACGAAGGCATTTGTTCTTTTAGGTAGCCTTCAGATGATTTTAGATACATTTGTTCCCTTCTTGCTACCCATGTTGTTGCTTGTGCCCTTTTATTGTTTATTTAGCCATATTACAAGTTGATTTTCCCCATTGGTTACTAGTCCCAAGCTTGGCTTGGGGGAGCTATTAGTGAGTGAGGTGAGAGAGTTTGTAGTGTGCTTATTATTTGCACAATTTGGGTGGGTTTTGAGAAGTTATTTTGTTCTTGATCATGTTTATTTTTGATGAGTTTAAAAGTTATATCTTCTTGAGAAAAAATAAAGTATGGTGTTATGATAAAAAAAAAAGAAAAAAAAAAGAGAAGTTAAAAAAAAAAAAAAGTGAACTTCAAAAGATAAAAAATTTTCAATGTTCAAATGTTCTAGTTGGAGGTTGATCAAAAGGAAGAAAAAAATTGAGTTTCAATGAAAAATTCAAGTTTGGAAAAAAAAGTTTGTTTATTCAATTCAGTTTTTAATTATTATATCTTATGAGTGAAATTGTAAGATTTGGGATTGTTTATATTGTTTGGAGTATATTTGGTGGATTTTTGTTAGAGTTGGTTGTGTAGGAGATGTTGATCATTATTTATTTTGATCATGGGTTTTACTAGGATTTACTCCCTTAAGCATAGCTTTTCTCTCACTTGTTCCCAAATGATTGCTACCCTTTACCCTAGCCTTACATTACAAGCTTTAAATACATTCCGACCTTTGTGTATTAGAGTTGTATGAATGTGAAAGTGTTGTTTATCAATGCAAGTTATGATTCGACATATTTCGAGTCGACTAGTAGATTGAGCGTACATCTTTTTATACACATGAGAGTGTGAGTTGGGAGAGCATTGTTCACATTAAAGGGGTTGGTTGGAGAGCGATCGAGTACATCTTTTACTCGCAACATAAATGAGAGTTGAGTGTGTGAGCACTAGTCTTGAATTCTATATGCTCTTGTGGTTTGCTCTATTTGACAATTGTTAGGGAGGAAGGGTAATTGGACGGATTTGATTGGTTGGCTTTGAAGCATGTTTATTGGATTTACCTTGAATTGTTTGTGCTTGATTTTTACTTTTTGGGGTGAAGCATATTTATTTATTCATTGATGAGATCTTTTCTTAGGGACAATTAAAGGTTTAGCTTGGGGGAGTTTGATATGTCTATTTTATATATTATTTTACCCCCGTCCCTTTGTCGTAATTAGTAGTGTTTTTGGCTCTTTTGAGCCACTTTTATTACTAATTGGTGTTTTCTAGTGTTTTCGTAGATTTGATTGACTTTTGTAGGGATTTGCACTTTTGGAGCATTTTCTCGAGATTTTATGGAGCAATTACGAGCATTGGAGAAACACGACTAGTTTCTATAGCCCAGGGCCGGTTAGAGCCATCGAACCGGTGATTAAGGGCTCGGTATATGTGATACCGGGGCATTTGGACCGAGTATTCAAGACCCGAAGTGGAATTCCAGATTGGCCGAAGAATTGAAGCCCAAATAGTGGCCCAAGAGTGCCGCCCGGCCAAAGAAGCTGGCGCCCGAAGGCGCGCCCGGCCGGGCGAGGGAAGTAACTCGGCGCCAGAACTTGCGCCCGACCAGGCGCGAGAAATGTAGCTGATGGAGAAAAGGCGCGCCCGATCGGGCGCGTTTTATTATTAGGAGTTAATTTTCGATGTTTAAGTTTGTTTTAGTTTAGGATTCTTGCTTAGTATAAAAACTTTTCCGTTAAGCGAGTTTAGGATCTTTTTTTTACTCTTTCTTAATTCTTTCTTAGATTTTCTCTCTCTACTTAGCTTTTAGATTAGTTTCTCTCTCTTATACTTTGTTCTTGACTTTATTCTTAATTCCAAATTTCTTTGGTAACGATTTCTTTTCTCTTAATCTTAGTTATTTATTTTATTCCTTTGATCATGTCATGTTTTATTACTTTGATTAGTTTAGTTTTAATTATGTGTGAGTAGTTTTATTTCTAGGGTTTGTGGGGATCCATAAATAATATGAAGGGGTAATTTATTGTTGTTAATTGTCAATGCTAGATTAGTTTCCTATTGATTGATTTAATGTTCTGTGACTAGATTTGCGCAGATCTTTTATGCATGAGTTTGACAATATTGATTCGAGATTCGAGAGATGAGAATTGATGTTTAGGTCTAGTTTCAATAGGCAGGTTAATTTTTAAATGGTTAAGTCGAGATTTGAGAGATGAGATTTAATACCGGTAGATTAATTCTGTGATTGTAATACGTAGTGAAAGCCCTTTATGATCCGATTAATTATGCATTAATGATTGATTATTATGTTTTACCCTGGAATGTTATTTATTGGTGAACCTATGCCCTAAGCCTTTTATTCATTGTTTTCTCCTTATTCTTAATCTTCGTAGTTTAGTTCCCTTCGATTGTAATATTTTGGTTACTTTATAATCTAGATTATATTAATTAATTAGGAATAGAAAGACTCGTTTCTTTGTGGATTCGACCCTACTTCCCTATTTTTAGTTAGTGATTTTAGGAATTACTTTTGATTAGGTGATACGACTTTAGCCTGTCAAAAAGATCAGGTATATTTTGTGGCAATTAATTGAGCATAGTGTTTTGCTCTGAATTAGCCTTTGTAAGACTAGAGGAAGCTGAAAGTGTTGTAGCAACCTTAGGAATTAAGTAGTCCTCTTGCTCCGAAATATAGGAGTTTCCCGAATCAAAACTTGGTAGATTTATTTTTATAGTCAAACCCTGAGAAAGAGGATTGGCTTCACACAAGAAACCCGAGTTAGTGACCTCTTCAATCACGGGATTATCTTAATCATAATCACCTGAAAGGTGATCTTATGTATGGTAGAAGTCGTCGGCAATGTCACAATTAAAATTACCCCCATCCTCATAGAGGTCCTTATAAATTTTGCCATCAGTATTATCATCACCTCCACTACAACCTAGAGCATCATTAGTGTCATCTCCATTATGAGCAATGCCAGAGGAAGCAACAAAAGTAGATGGATCATAATCATAAACTAGCAGGTTCACCCTTGTGTATTAATAGAAAAAGTGCTATTTGTAACTGGCGAAATTGACTTTTTGTAACTGGCATTGTTGGTTGCGATGCCACCGTTACAACTAGTGAAAATTATTTGTAACCGACTAATATTAGTTACAAATAATGTACTATTTGTAGCTGGCTTACCCTAATGCCAGTTGCAAAAAGTCTATTTTCCAAGGTAGAAAGCATACTATTTGTAACTGGCATTAAGTTACGCTAGTTACAATTAGGGTATTATTAGTAACTGACAAATCTTAACGCCTGTTACGAATAATTTTTTTTATTTTTTAAAAAAAATATTATTAGTAACTAGCATTAGATTATGCCAGTTACTAATAAATAAATAATTTTTTTTAATAAATATTTGATTCGAATACAAGAATGGTAATATATCCTACCAAACGTCCCATCGTCAAATGAATTACAACCAGTTACAATTCAACCAACAAAACACGTACTCCAAATACTTCCATATAACTTAAATTCACCCACAACATACAATACAAACACCCCAAATGATTCCACAGATGTATTATTTATCCACAACAATACAGTGCAAAAAAATTAACTATACTTTCCAAAAAATAATTAAAACTTGAATAAAAAAAAAAAGAACATTGATTTATAATTTTGAACTGTAATAACAATAATCAATAGGCTAAATAAGTAGATAGATAGAAAAGTATTATATTGTTTTATTAAGCTAAACACAACTAATCATAACATTGATTAATAAGATAACTAGTCTTTCAACAAAAAAATAAGCCTAAAAAACTTAGCCCATTGTTCTCAAATCTCATCTAATTCTACATCGTTGTAGGCTGCAAGTCTTGCCAAATACTCCTGCAAATATTAAAAAAAATACGTGTCTATAATACTTTATAAAAATAAAACATCAACTAAAACTCGTATAAAGCATTTTAGCTTGCAAAGAAGAGGTAAATTAATCACTAACCTCTTTCAAATTTCCCTTGCAATCGCTATGAAAGGTACTATCTCATACATATACATCTCATTACATAATAAGCACATTCAGTCCGCAACTATTAGCTTTCTCTTTGGTTTGCACCAACTCATTCTCCGCCTTTTTTGACAAAGTTATAACATTCAAGAAAAGATAAATATTAATATAATTATGTTACAAATATCTTAGATCATTACGTGCGATCAATGTATTACCTCATCAGTAAGGAAGACTAAATTTGCAGGCCACCCCAAATCACAATCCAAGAAAGTTTCTAGTAATGCATATTCAAATACAAAACAACATCTGGAAAGGAGCATCAAGATTCGCTGCTGGTAGAGTAACATGTCTGACTATGGTATCAAGCAAATCCGACATATTCTTAACTTCTTCAGCGGGGCTCTTGGTGTACTCTGATGATGCCCATCCTTCTTTTGCAGAAGCATAGAGAACAGGAAAATCCAACTGTTCCTCTGCAAGAGCATTAAAAATTATGTCACGCACTATTAATTTGTAGAGATGGCATAAATCATAAATAAAGTAGCTAGCATTCATCAAGCGGCCATTCTCATTTAGATTACAAACCTGTAGCACCAAGATTTGCAAATAGATCAAACACCAGGCTTTCCACTTCACTACATCTCTCTTACTGCATAAGCATCATTTAAGCACAAAGATTAACAAATGATCACTGAATGCTTCACATATACAAATGAAAATAAAAACACACTTATATGAAAATTCTAGTACTGTATAGAACCCTTCAATTAAAATACAAACAAAACTAATAAGTTAAACAAGCTACACATATAGCAAATAGCTAGCTACAACTATATAAAGTATGGACAATAAGAAGTCATCGGTCCCCTGAGTCAAGATTAATAGCTTAACCTTGTCCAATCAATATAAATATGAGGCCCATGTCCTGAGCTTTCTGGTATATATCAAGTAGTTTTGATGCTAGGACTTACCATTTGACCCAGCCATTCCCGTGATGATACAACCTGACCAAAATATGGGTCAACCCTGAAAGGGAGTATATGGACTCTACGTTACACCTCCTAACCTTAGATTAAATTTGGAGTATATATATAGCGAAACGCACATGAAAATTAGAAAGAAAAACGCACAATCACCCCTATATGACCTACTGCACTACTTATTTCATGCATACTTATCAGCGGGAGCAGCAGATAAAAGGATATCAACTTGTGGCTGATAAACAGATTGCCTTTATATTGTTTAGTCCTTTTTTCTTTCACCTTTGTTCTCTCTTTCATGTATTCATTACAATAAGATGTATCAAGTACTTAATAGAACGTGTTCCGTGAATCATAACAACCACATTTATTAATAAAGGGATTCAAATTTATGAATTTCAGTTCTAAGCTTCAGTTCTGAATTTCAGACTAATTTCAGTTCTGAATCTCAGTTCTAAGCTTCAATTCTGAATTTTAGTTCTAAGCTTCAATTTTGAATTTCAGACTAATTTTAGTTATGAATTTCAGTTCTAAGCTTTAATTCTGAATTTCAGACTGATTTCAGTTCTGAAATTCAGTTCTGAGTTTCAGACTTATCTCAGTTTCAAATTTCGGTTTTGAGCTTCAGTTCTGAATTTTAGACTGATTTCAAATGAGCAAAAAAAAAAGTCTTATCTTCAAGTATAATTTCATGTTTTCATAACATATGTTCTGTATACTAGCAGATAACATGCAAATGTGCGGGAGGAGGAGATGAACATGCGACAACAATGGCACTTCTCAGCTTGCTGTCAAGCTATTCATGGGATGCAAAGGTAGCCATAGCTCTAACGGCACTAGCAATAGCCTATGGAGAGTTTAGGTTGGTGGTCCAGCTCTTCTCTAGTCACCCTCTCGCCAAGTCTGTTGCTGTCCTTAAGCAACTACCTACAAAGAGGATTATTGTGTTCAGGCAGCTGCCTCAGCAGTACATCTTAGCTGAGCAGCCGCCTTTATCTGTTTCTATGACACACATTCCTACTGTTGCTTATTGGACTATCAGGAGTGTTGTGGCCTGTGCCACACAGATTTTCAGTCTTATTGGCATGAGCTACGAGTGAGTTACTCTTAATCAAAACAATCTAATCTATTCATTACTTTATTTTCTATAGGTATCTGAGGAAGTAAGTTATGCACTCCATGCATCACCCTCAAGTCTAATTGATTCTGAGATAGAATTTTTCTTCTTTTCCCTGTACTTTTAGCCAGCTCACAGTCTCACACTAAAGGTAGCTTAAACAAAGTTGCAATATTGGAGCAAGTTGTCCCCAATAAAGGAACACACCATGACAGCACACAAATTTCTAATCTTAAACATCTATATTCACAATATAGGAACAGATCTCCAAAAGGAAAGAATAGCTATCATCTCAAACATCGGTAATCAAAATTCAAGACTAAGAACAACGACAACACACAAACTGATAACAACAATGACCTGCTCAACAGGACATAAAAATAAGCTCAAGATCGCACATAAAAATAAGCTCTGAATTAAGTTTTGAAAGTCAGCTTTGAATTCAGTTTTGATTTTCAATTCTGAATTCAATTCTGATTTTCAACAGTTCTGATTTTTAGTTCCGAATTCAGTTGTGATTTTCAGTTCCGAATTCAGTTATAATTTTCAGTTCTGATTTTCAGGTCCACTTCACATAAGCCAATATATGTAAAGACCATATATTACATTGAGAAAGATTAAACGTTCATGTAATTATTTTTTTCAATAGTGGAAAATATAGATAGCATAACATCCTAGGCCGAGGGATTCTAATGGATAGAATATTACTATTAAATGACAACTCGTTACATCATAAACTAGCAGAAACCCATGACTGCTCCATGACAATAAGATGGAATACATTTAGAAGACAAATATAAATTAATCATAATAAATTCTACATAATATTTTACAACACATATAGAGACAAGTCAGGTAACTGACCATCACATCTCATTTTAACATTGATGATCTGTTGGCAGAAATACACCTGTGCAAAACTCTGTTCATCAGGCTACAAAACTGATATTATAGCAATTTAGTATTAGACAAAGCTCTTTGACAGTCATGAGTCAATTCAAGTTTTCCTTTACAAATAAACATAGAAATAATGACCTTTGAATATCCACTTCCTCCCCTTCCCTTCCCCAACCCAAGGCCGACATCCAATTCCTCCCATCCTACTCCCCAATGGTGACCGGACATCCAATTCCTTCCCCTCCCGCTCCCCAATACAGCCAATAGAAAGGCCGAACATTCGTAATTTTGCCACCCTTTCAACAATAGAACGACATAAATGAAAATAAGCTATCAAACCCAAAAAATCAATGATTGACTACCAAAATCGAAATATTAAAAGAATTTTGCCAAACTTAGGGTTCATAATTCGAATCAAAGCGCACACCTATAATAATCAAAATACATTACATTCACAGAATCATATATTCACAAATGAATGAAATCACAATTTCAATTAACAATTAAAAAAAATAGCTTAATTAAAACTAAACCTGAAGATTGGAGTTTTGCTTCGTCGAAGAGAGAGAACTCAGAGAAGGTTAAAGGCAAGCAGGCGAACACCGGTCGGCCGTCGTCGGAGTGCGGCCAACGTCGATTTGAGAGCAGCGCCGGTCCTTGAATGAGAGTGAGGGGAAAGGAAGTTAGTAAGAAGTTAGGGTTCTTCAATGTTTTCTTTCTGTAAAATTGGGATATGTAAAGACCAAAAAAAAAAAAAAAGTAAATAAAGGTGTGTAGGCAAAAGAAGCGCAGACTAGTAGGCAAGTGCAGTACCAACTTTTTTTTTTTCGTTTTCCTAAATAAAACTAATTTTTTTGTTTAAAATTTAAAAAAAAAAATACAAGTGAAGTGTGAGTGGTGGGCGCTAATATTAGTAACCGGCCTTAAGAAAGCCCCTTACAATTAATAAGGTCTATAAAGTTTGACTTATTATTTGTAACTGACATTTTTTATGCCCCTTACTAAAAGTTGGTCACCCTATCATTGACCTACTATTTGTAACTGACCTTTGTTATGCTAGTTACTAATACTAGTTTATTTGTAACCCAATTATCTATGTTAGTTACTAATACTCTTTTTGTAACTCTCCTCAAAAAAAAAATACTCTTTTTGTAACTAACATAATTTAAGTCAGTTACTAGTAGGGTGTTACAAATAGCACTTTTTCTACTAGTATGTTACGATGGTTCGATCATGTTAGAGTAAAAAGGCCGGGAAGGGGGGCCATATAAAACATTGTAACCTTCCAAATCAAACTTCTTATAACGCGCTAATATTTTTTTCTTTGCATCATAAGTAGTGTAAAAACAATGACAAGTACAATGACCCTCCCCTCCATATATCTTGCAGAATTTAAAAATTCCTTCATACCTAAAATTAACTTAAACGGTATTACCCGTTGAGGTAGGAAGAAAACAACCTGGGATAATCGGGCGAGAAAGATTGAAGAGCATTTGAATTCTAATATTTGGCTTTGAAGGAACATCATCATTTAGGAAATCCATTGATTGAATAGATCCTACATGACGAAGAGCTTCCACCCCCCATTCATGGTGGAGATGACTCAGAGGAAGACCTTGTACACGTACCTAAGCTTGTCCATGGGATGTTTCTACTATGGTCATCTTAAATATGACTATAGTTATACTTAAATGTCATTGGTTGATTTTAGATATATTTTTTTAGCTTGGTCAAACCTTATTTAAGGGTAATTAAGGTATTTTGCTTCTTTAATTCATTTTCTTATTTTTCAAATTTCAATTAATGAATTTCTGAAAATATTATTTTAATTTTCGAATTTATTTTATCTAAATCTAATTTTAATAAAATCTAAAATTAAGATTAAAAAAAATTAAAAATAAAAATTTTTGTTCTTCGAACTTCATCGATGTTCATCGTTGTTCTTCGTAGTTCTTCAAAAAAAATTCATCAAATAATGAAATCAACCACGAATTTATGTTCCATGTACCTTAATTTCAATCGCGCATCAATGGAAATCGAAAAATAGGCTAGATTTATACAGCCATTGCGCAATTTTCTAGTTCACATAATCGGTTTCTATCATCTTCTCGCAAGGGATTCTTAATCTTTGAATAACATATTTTAATTGTATAAAGTCAAGCATCGGGTTCGAAAATAGCGATTTAAGGTATAAGAAATCAAAAATTTTAATTTTTTCGGTAATATATGTTCGTCATGAAAATCTGAGAAGAAACCGTAACACATTTTTTTTCACAACTTTTTTTGATCCAAAAAATCGAAGGTCGAATTATAAACACTGTTTGTGATATAGGTATTGACCCAAATACAAATATGACATAACCTTAACTGAATTTTATTAATTATAAAAAGATAATGACCAAACGTAACATTGGACATTTCCAATTAGTATAATAGAATTTACTTCGATGGCAATTTATAGTACGATGAACCTGGACAATGATTCGAACTAATCAATAAATAAAAATTATGGAATCGATATATTTTAAGTATAGAAATTGCATTTTAACATTGGAAATCACTTATTCAAATCATGATATTTTCCTAAATTTCTATTTTTTAAATTTTGAATAGATTATATATTGGAATCAGTTATTCTAAATAGGATATTTTCCTAATTTATTATCTTTAAAATGTAAATGATTTTTATCTTTTAAATTTTAAAAAATCTTTACAAACAACAACGTTAGGGTTCTTTGCTTCACATCTTTATCATCCTCGCATACTCTTTTCAACCGAATTTGTTTCACAGTTTGCACAATTATTTTTGGTATTCAAATCATGGTTAAAAAAGCAAAACCCAATGTAAGTATACTCGAAATTGAATTTGTTTTTTTGCTATGTATTTTTACCAATATTTAAAATTAAATTCAATTTTATTTTTATGCGTTTGTAATTGGTTCAAAGATGAACAACTTTTTATCTTTGAACATTGATTTCGTCTATATAGGGTTTATGTTTTAAGCAAATTAAATTCATTCATAATGGTTTAATTCCATTTTTAAATCACTCATGATCTCTGGAATCGATTTATGGTTGCAGAAAAGTAAGGCAATGGAGAAAAAAATAAATGATATTCGCTGCAAACTGTCAAACATAGAGTCGACATTGGCTAAACTCGTTGCCGATGTTGCTGCTAGTATATCACAGAGTTCAACCAAGGTTCCAGAATCAACTAATTGTAGGACTGACGGAGAAGCAGACACTGTTGGTAAAACTCCGCATGGAAATCGTTCGTATTCTCCTTTCCTAAGCCCTAATGGCGAGTTGATGGTTAGCTCACATGTCTCGACAACTAAGCGAAAGCTACAGGTTAATGACACTGGCGACGAAGGCGAAGAAGTAGAGGAAAAACACTTTGCTGGCTTCGATGTTGACTCATTCGACATTAGAAATATCCGTTTTACTGAGCCTCAATTTCCACCGGGTTTGGAAACACTCCAAGATCTTAAAGAGGATGAAGAAAAAGCGAAGGAGAAAAAGACAAAAGATAAAGTTAGAAGCCCTGATATCAAAGTGTTGACTCCAAAGTCAAAAGCAATAACAACCACTGATAACGGTGAACCACAAACGAATTCAGAGAAGAGGCCTCTTAGGAGGCCAAGACTAAGGCAATTGAGTCAGATTGATGATAACAGTAATGTGAATATGAAAAAGGTAAATATGTAATCACTAAATCAAATATTGGTCATTACATTACTGATTTTTAACGACTGACCTATTAACTATTCCTCCCCATTTATAGACACAGGAATCATCATCATCAAAGCCAAAAAAGGGGAATAAAAGCAATTCAAAGGCCCAAGGTGCACAGGCAATTTCATCATATTTTCACTGCATACCATTTTGTGTGCCGACTACAAACAAAATGGTTTTCAGTAATATAATTAATTGTAATTACATATTAAATTATTACATATTAAATTATTATAGGCCCAATTATGCAAATAAAAAATGCGGAAGGAATGCACTTCTAATGCAATACCTGAAGAGGATCATACTAGTGATGACGATGAGGATGTGTTACGGTTTAATGAAGAACATTCAACACAATTTTTATTTCTTGAATATGTATCACATTTGGACTCCTTGGAGAAACAAATATGTGTGAATGTTCACAAAGATAAGAACAGTGAGGAATTTTATTGTGCCAAAAATAAATCAATTATCAGGTTGACTGTGGGTGAATCTTGGTGTTTGTATCTGGATAATGTGATTACTAATCAGGTATACTATTATTACTAATTTCAAATCGAATTTTTTTTCTGGGACATTATTTGTTTTGTGGAACATGACATGACACTTTTATTTTAACTATTTTAATTGCAGCTTATAAATGTCTATTTGTATGATATACAAATGGGGTTACATGACCCAACTAAACTGATATTGCCAGCAGCATTCCAGGTACATTGGCTTTTACATAAAATGGGAATAAAAGTTTTATTTGCTAAACTCATAAATTATAAATTATACATGATGCGTGTAGACATTAGTACTGAAGTCAGACAAAAGGTGCTCGCATTACATGACTCCATCTATTCTCAATTACTGTTTCAAAGTGTTTGAACCATTTATACCGTCTGGGGATCTCAACAAGATTGAACAGGTTTGAGATATTTAGCATATACTACAAGTTTTGTCTAAGTGAGCCACAAAATGTTGTTTGATGATCTTTGATGATAAGTGAGCCACAAAATGTTGTTTGTTCATCAGATATTCATACCCGTTATGGAAATAGAAGAAAACCATTGGTTCCTATTGGTGTTTCATGTCAAAATAAAAAAGGTGTGGGTAGTTGATTCACTACTGGTTACAGACAATAGATACAATCTTGCTACGGATATGGTAATTACTTGACTATATGGCAGTACTTTTATTGTTACCGATTGTGTGATTAACATGGTTGATAAAATTGTGATTAGATTAAGTGTGCCTGCAATGCAATGCGGAGAAATCCATTGGGTCAATTTTTTAAAGATTTCAATAGTATTACAATTGACGTTTTATCTTTTTTAACACAGTCAAACAGGTATATCCAACAACATTCCTTTTACTAGATTGTTTTCATTGCTCTAATTTAAATAATCCTAATTTAAATAATTTTTGGTATATAGTCATGATGGTGGAATGTTTGTTTTGAAATACATCGAGTGTGGTGATATCAACGCCATGAAGGACATTACTTACAGAGTACGGATCAAATTTTATTCTTTGTGAAACTTATATATCATTTGTGGCACAATTAATAACTCTCATTTGTGTCATTGATCAGACAAATGACATGCGTGTTGAACGATTAAAGTACCTAGCAAGACTTCTGCTTAGCAAGAACAATGATGAAAGTAACATCGAGAGGTTTATTGATGCTAAATCCAGCTGAATTTCATGCCAATGTATCTTTTAGTTTTGGAATTGTTTTACAAGTATTTACCTTTATTAACTATGGACAACATAAATAAAAGTTCAAGCCTTACAAATTTCATTAGTGTTTACAAAGTGTTTTTTTTTTTTACTTTATTCATATGCAAGTTGTGTAAACTACTTCTATCTTTCCATTAGTAATGAGTGATGTCAAATAATAATTATACATATTACCCAAATAAAATTGAAGCAATTTTGCAAACAGTTTTATACCACGATCAATAATTTTTTACTGCTAAAAAAAAAAATTGAACACGGTACTTTCGTACTTTTACTTTGTTAAACTTTAATAACATATAATACGTATATACCATTCACTTATGTAATGACCAACCTTTATTCTTGCCATAACACAAATATTTTTTAATTCCAACAACATTGTAAGAGTTGTAACT